GGAAGCCTGCTTCTCCCTCTCCCGCTCCCCGTGCTTGTGTTCCCTCTCTCACTGTGTCTCTGTCAAATGAATGGATAAAATCTTTAAAAAAAAAAAAAAATTTATGCTTTATGAAGATATAATCCACTCATGTAAAGTGTACAATTCAATGGTTTTTAATATATTCACAGAACTGTACCACCACCCAATTTTAGAACATTTACATCACCTCCAAAATAAAACCCATGCCCTTAAGCCATTATCTCAATACCCTCATCCCCCTCATCCATATGCTGCCACTAATCTGTCTTCATAGAGTTGCCTATTCTAGACATTTCATATAAAAGTATTCACACACTATGTGTTTGTGACTTCTTAACATGATCATCAATGAACATGTTTTCAAGGTTCATCCATGTTGTAGCATGAATCAGTACTTCATTCCTTTCTAAGGCCAAATATTTCATGACATGGATATACTATATTTTATTTATCCACTCATAAGCTGATGAACATTTGGGTTTTTATCTTTTGGCTATTGTGAATAATGCTGCTATGAACATTTGTGTACATGGCTTCATTCCTTATGGGACATACCAAGGAGCAGAACTGCTGGATCAAATGGTAACTCAATGTTTAACTTCTTGAGGAACGGCCAGACTGTATTCCAAAATGGCTGCACCATTTTATATCCCCACCAAGAGCGTATGAGGGTTACAATTGCTGTATATCACCAACACTTGTTATTTTCTGTCTTTTTAGTTATCATCATTTTAGTGGATCAAGTGCTATTTCATTATGGTTTTGACTTTTATTTCCTGATGACTAAAGATGTTAAGAATCTTTTCATGTGCTTATTGATCGTTTGTATATCTTCTTTGGGGAAATATCTATTCGGATCATTTGCCCATTTTGTAATTGGGTTTTTAGTTCTTTTACTGTTGAGTTGTAACAGTTCTTTATATATATTCTGGATATAAGTCCATTATCAGATATGTAATTTATGAATATTTTCTTACATTCTTTTAACTTTCTTGATGGTATCCTTTTCGGTGGTTTTTTAATTTTGATAAAGTCTAATTTATCTATTTTTATTTTGGCTGCTTATAGGTTTGGTGTCATATTTAAGAAACCACTGCCCAATCCAACTTCATGAAGATTTACCCCTATGTTTTCTTCTAAGAGTTGGACAGTTTTAGTGACTTAGGTCTTTGATCCATTTTGAGTTAATTTTTGTATGTTGTGTGTAATGTTGTGTGTATGTGGGGGGTCCAACTTCATTCTTTTGCATGTGGAGTCCTGTTGTTCCAGTACCATCTGTTAAAGAGTCTGTTCTTTTCCCATTGAATTGTTTTATCACTCTTGTCAAAAATCAATTGAGCATAAATGTTAAGAACTTATTTCTTGCTTCTCAATTTGATGTCATCTATCTATAGGTCTATCCTAGGCCAGTACCACAGTCTTGATTACTATTGCTTTGTAGTAAACTTTGCAATTGGAATGTGTGAGTCCTCCAATTCTGCGAACATTTTCACTTAACTCTCTCTCTTTTTTTTTTTTTTAGGTAGGCTCCATGCCCAGTGTAGAACCCAACATGGGGCTCAATCCCACGACCCCGCGATCATGACCTGAGCCAAAATCAAGAGTCAGACGCTTAACCAACTGAGCCACACAGGTATCCCAGAACACATGAATTCTAACATTACCCCTATCAGAGTGGGCAATAAGAATGTATATGTGTGTGTTAGGGTTACGGGTGGGAGGTTGAGGTTATGGCAAGGTTGTAGGACTATCCTAATCTTGAGAATGTGATAAGAGAAGGATGGCATAAGACAGGATGTGGCAGAGTGCGAGGTCCAAACAGAGAGCTGGTGTTAATCACTCCTTTGGCAAGAGAGAAACCTCTAATCTTGAGGTGTTGTGACTAGACAAGTAATACTTGCCAGTGAATAGGAAATAGGATAAAACAAGTGACTTAAGAAGCCCCAAACTGAGTTTATTATGGTATAAACTAGGTAATAACAAATAACTCCAGTATATTCAACTAAAGTCCAATATACCCTAGGATATTTATTTATTTTTAATTTTTTAAAAATATTTATTTATTTTAGAGAGAGAGCACAAGCAGCAGGGGCAGAGGGGAGAGAGAATATCAAGCAGATTCGCCCTGAGCGCGGAGCCCAATGCAGGGATCAATCCCACAACCCTGAGATCATGACCAGAGCAGAAACCGAGTCAGAAGCTCAACAACAACTGCACACCCAGGTGCCCCTACCCTGGGATATTTAAATACAACACAAGGCAAAAAGCTGCTCTAGGGTTAGAAGTCCCCAAGAGAAAAGAAGAAAGTAAGATATTTATCTAGAAAAAGCCAGGAAATAGAAAAATATGCCAATCCTCACAACCTCTCCCATGTTCCCAACCACTTCTCTGATTTGCCCATTCTTGTACCACTTCAAGTCATTAACACCTTTCAATTTTTCAGTCCGAATTGCTGGATAAGAAAGTCTTTTCCAGAAAAATAAGGTGCCATTCTTTTCCTTGGCAGCATCTTATTCAAGTCAAAGGTACAACTTTCTCACAAAAGAAAATGTTAGTAATTCTAGGCTCTGGAAAGACTGATACCAGGGCCTCTTGCCACACATTAAATCTAGAATCCTGTCTCTGGAAGCTACTTGTAGCTAATCTCTTAGAAAAGAGTCACATCATATAGGAACTCCCATTCAGCTTAGAATCTTTACCTGACAAGTGGCTGAGGTTTAGGATATAGCGGATTTCAAAGTTGGCAACAACCTGACATCAGCAGAGTAATTTCATTACAACCTCCCAATTTTCTAGAAGTCCAGTCAGGATCTGGCTCAGCTATTTAATCCTCACCATCTACTTTCTCTTCCAGTTGCTTCTTATCCAGCTGGCAGGAACTTCCAAGAAACATAATATAGTAGGCACTGCAATATACTGGTTGCTTGTTGGGGTTGGAATAGACCTGTTCAGGTTTGAGGGACGCGAAAGGGTTAGCTCCATAGGCAGTGATGTGTGTATCCAGGTCCACCAGAATCTGCAAAGAAGCTGCCAATTCCTGATGGCTATAGGAGACAGATGAAAAAAAAAAAAAGAAAGAAAAAGAAATTGCTCTGCTAATTATGAGAGATGTAGGAGAGAAATTCCTCAGAACTTGATACTTCTGGACTCTTAATCCCCAAAATTACCAAAGGCTAGACGGGCAAGGGTATCCTTCCCTCCCAAATGTCTCACTAAGTACCTGATTAACTAGCATAGGACTTGGATCCAAGGGGATTAGAAAGCCAAGTGTGGAAAGGAAGAAAATCCTCACCAGAAGACAGAAGATGAGCAAGGGGGAGAGAAATGAGCTCATCTATACAGAGAGAGGTATGAGTGAGTCAGGGAGGTATCACAAATAGGAAGAGGTTGAAACCTGTAAACAGTGATCAATGTAGGGATCTCATAATCACGAAGTAGCAGGAGGGTGGGCAGCCAAGCCTCCATCAAGTCTGGGGAAGCATGGAAACCTATGTGGGGAAAAAAACAACAGAAATGGATATAGAGAGGGGAAAGGCTGAGGTAGACCCTAAGCAAGATACTTTTTTGATTGTATCCACCCCTCCCCTCACCTTGCTCACCTCCAATGCTCATTTACCACCATCATCCACCCCACGTTCTGCAATGGAAAATTCTAAACCCAGGTATAGCACATATGGCTAATGATCAACCAAGGTTGTCATCATATTGTGTTTAACCTGACCAAATGAATGGGGTTCCAAATAGAGGAGATATAAGAGTCAGGATGGAAAATTCCCAGAAAAGCCACTCGGTATTCCCCTGAATGACTCTTACCTGGATGGAATGCCACCACCAAATCTGGATGGGTTATCTGTCCAGTCTCTACCTGCTCCTCCCAGAAGTCATGATAGAGGCCCCTATGGCCACTAAGCTGAACTGTGCCAGGTTCCAGGGGGAAAGTTGAGGTGCTCTTTGTAAAGCCAGCAGATACGTCTATACCCACCATGATCACACGGAGGCCTAGGTGTCCAGGAAACATGTAGCCAAGCTCATCATAGTCCCCAGGGCGAGTGAGGAATGTCTCCACATGGGAAGCACCAACCACATGCACTGTGTTTCCCCCAATCTTCCGAACATCTATCCCCAAGGCCCGAAGCCCAAGGCCCAGTGTCAAGGGCCGTGATAGGGCATCTGTCAGCAGCCGTTTTAAAGAGCCCTGCAGGACATCTGGGTCTGGCTTTGGCCGTCCCACGTTGGCCCACAGGGTGGTCATGGCATGACTACCTAGTACAGCATCCAGTGTAGCATCTAGCTGTAAACACCGCAAAGAAAACCAGGTATCCCAGCCCTGTACAACTTCAGCCAGGCATGGCCAAGGTCCTGAAGGTAGGACAAAAGCACCTGCAGGAAAGAAGGGATAAGAGTGACCTAATCCTTTCCTGGCTTCAATATTCCTTCCAAATTTACTCTTCCAACTTGTGACCAGGAGTGCTCCACCCAGTTTCTCATGTTTTCCTCGTAACAACATGTTTTCATATCTTTCTCCAAGTACAACCAACTATGACCACTGTGGCAGAGTTCTCCAACACCACCACTTCACCTGTGACTAGAAGCCATTCCATGAGACGGTCCACAGCTACCAGACGCAGCTCTTGACAAACCTTCCTGTGCTCTGGCCAGTCCGACCTCTGGCACTCTGGACCACAGTAATAGACATTTCTGCACCTGAAAGATGAGCCCCAGAAACAGATGTTCCTATACCTCAAAGGTGACTGGGAGATGACTAGGGAAGGGAATTGACACTTCCTGTATATAGGAAGAAAGATCACTGGATAGGGAAGGTAGGGAGAGGAGTGAGAGCTGATGCACCAAATTTGGAGATTACATTTGGCAGGGGAGGCATGAGAGACTAGGAATTTAATTATTCTCTTGGGTCAGGGTAACACCTCAGTCTGTATCTGGAATAACTCACTTTTTACATCCCTTACAGAAAAAAAAATACCAGGAGCTTGCAGCTGCCCTCTTATCACAGGTATGGCTCAACCCCAACCCCCCCAGAACAGACATGATCTTAACCCTTGAATACTCAAGAGGAAGGAGGTAGAGAAGATTATACAGTAGTACCCCCCTTCTCCACAGGGAATATGTTCCAAGACTCCCAGTGGATGCCTGAACTCATGGATAGTACCAAACCCTATATATACTATGTTTTTTCCTACACATACATACCTATGATAAAGTTTATAAATTAGGCACAGTTAAAGATTAATGACAATAACGTAAGACAATTATAATATACTGTAATAAATGTTATATGAATGTGGTCTTTCTCTCAAAGTGTCTTATTATACTGTACTGACCCTTCTTCTTGTGATGTGAGATGATAAAATGCCTACATAAGATGAAGTGAGGTGAATGACATAGGTGCTGTGACAAAGTATTATGCTACTATTAACTTTTTGACAAGAGTCAGAGGAGGATCATCTGCTTCCAGACTGTGGTTGACCACACATAACTGAAAGCATAGAACGTGAAACTGCCCATAAGGGGGACTGCCGTACCATGGTCTGACTTCCCCATAATACCCAAAATAAGCAGGAGGCCAATCCTTTTCTAATCTTTCTGTGGCCTGGGTCACACAAAATGAGGAGTGGCCCTGAAGTTATTCTGAAAACTCTTAGACCTTTCCTCCTGCCATGAAGTCTTAGAATAGGATCATTTCTGGATGACTCTATTAGCCCCCAACTAGTCACCTCTTGCACTGACGTAGGACCTTGGAGTCTGAAAGGCCACTAGGAAGAGCTCTACAGTGAGCACAGAATCGGAATGTGTCCTCCATCTTCTGGAACATTTCTTGAAGGCATCCAAATCCAAAGCCTGATACAGAAGCACCCCCATCTAGCACCAACCTGCAGAAATGGCATGGAGAAGAAGTGGCAATAGGAAAAAGAGTATCTCCAGAATCATTCATGACCTATACCTTGCCTCCTATATATTTCTATCTACTCCCACTATTTCTCACATGAGAAAATATTTCTTCTATAGTAATAAAACTTGCAAAAGTCAGGATGACTCACTGTAAATGCCCCATATTCCCCAAGTTATACTCCCTTCTTGCTTTCTGAAAGCACTTCTACCAGAGATAATATATTACTCTTCCACAGAGCTAGTCACTCACTTGTATTCTTCATAGCTCTTCATGTTTAGCTTTTGAAGGATTAGCTGGGATAGGCCAGGAACATTATTGTCCAAGGAGAAGAAGCCAAGTGCATCAATGCTAGGGTCAGGTTTTGAGAGGGTCAGAGGCACAGAGGTCACAACTGTGGGTGGGGTCACAACCATGGGAGTCACCGATGAGGGGGGTTTCTTGTGCCTTCGTTGCCGGGATCTTGGAGCCATGGCTGTCCACTGATACCTGGAGACTATATGGAGAACAGATAGGGAATGGAATTTTGCAAGCTAGACAAGTATGATGTGTTTTCATATGTTTGACCTTTCAATTCTCATTCCAGTCTCAGAGCTAGGTATCAGTAAGATTTATTTAGGCTCTACTGATTATTGATCACCACAGGCAGTGATAAAAAAACAGGAGGAAAATAACTGTATATCAACATAATTATATATGTATTACATATGAAGTTCTATCTGAAATATAAATATATATGTAAGTAAATGCATAGAAAAAGGTCTGGCAGGACTCATATAAAACCAATAACAATGATTAACTCTAAGGAGGGAAAGAAGTAATGGGATAGGAACTGGGTTAATCAAAAGGAACTTTAGACTTATCTGTAACGTTTGACTCTTGAATACTAAGAATATATTCATATGTTATTAATGCATTTAAAAAATCAACTTAAAATGAGGGAGGAAAAAGCAACAGAAATCTTGGTTGTCTAAAACTACCAACTAATTGGAGAATCAGTCAATCTCACCTAGTTAAGGAAATAAAACATTCATTTTAGGAGACCTATCATCACACTTTTAAGCAATCAACCCAGAAATAGAAATTAAATGCAATATAAAAACAGCACCGCAATATTAAGATTTATGTAGTCAAAGCAAGTTATGCAAATTATGAGGAAAATTTCCTAAAGAGGTGAGCTTTGAAGTAGAACTAATCCCATACCCACCACTATCTAGGAGGAACTCTGATACTCTCCTTCCCTGCCTTGTCTTCTCCCATTCCTTCCACAAGGAATGAGTAAACAAAAGGAACTGTATTGGGAAAAATAACATCCATTCATTCAATAAACATTTACTGCTAAACATATATAATCACTCATATTATAATGGAAACAAATATGAAAAGTATACTTAATATCTAAATGTTTTACAGAGGGATCAAATGTAAATTATAAGGCAGTATATAAATCCTGTAAGAAAAGTGAAACTAAAGCACTAATGGGAGATCAGAAGGAAAGAATCTCCTCAGTTGGTTAGCTGTAGGAAGACTTTATAAAGCATGTAGCAGGGCGCCTGGGTGGCTCAGTTGGTTAAGCGACTGCCTTTGGCTCAGGTCATGATCCTGGAGTCCCTGGATCGAGTCCCGCATCGGGCTCCCTGCTCGGCAGGGAGTCCGCTTCTCCCTCTGACCCTCCCCCCTCTCATGTACTCGCTCTCTCTCATTCTCTCTCTCTCAAATAAATAAATAAAATCTTTAAAAATATATATATATATAAAGCATGTAGCAGTCAGAAGAGACCCATTAATGATGGTAATACTTGGAATACATGGAGACAGAAAAGAAGAATTCTAACCACAGAGAAGAGCATGAGCACAGAAATGTAGAAGGGAACACTCTAGGAATTAATGAAGAAGAATGGTTTCAGTTTGATTATTAAGTATAACCTAAATGTAAGAACTAAAACTATAAAGTCTTAGAAGAACACATAGGGAAAAGTATCATCATACGGATTTGTCAATTTCTCAGATATTACACCATAAAAAGAAGTGAAGTACTGATAATACGCTACAATGTGGGTGAATCTCAAAAACATTACACTAACTGAAAGAAGCCAGACACAAAAGATCATAAATTATATGATTCCACTTATATGAAATATTGAGAAACGGTAAATCCAGAGACAGAAAGCAGATTCACGGTTGCCAGGGCCTGGGAAGAAGAGATATGGGGAATAACTGTTAAATGGTTATGGGTTTTTCTTTGGGATGGTGAAAATGTTTTGGAACTAGACAGAGGTGGTGGTTGCATAACAATGTGAATGTATGACATACCATGCTCACTTTAAAAGGATTAATTTTATGTTATGTGAATTTCATTCATCTCAATTAAAAAATAAACTGTATCCGTAGAGATTGAGAAGCTAAAAAATTATTTTTTTTAAAGATTTTATTTATTTGTGAGAAAGAAAGAGACAGAGAGAGTATGCACAAGCAGGGGGAGTGGCAGGCAGAGGGAGAAGCAGGCTCCTGGCTGAGCAAGGAGCCCAATGCGGGACTCAGTCCCAGGACCCTGAGATCATGCAAGCCAAAGGCAGATGCTTAACCAACTGAGCCACCCGGGTGTCCCAGAGAAGCTAAAAAATTATTAACCCTCAGATTAACTGCCTCTAGGGACAAGTAAATGGCAGAGGATATAACAGTGGTTGGTTTTACTGTGAATAAGGTAACTATTAAAGTACAAATCAGGGATCATGTTTTGTTACAAAAATAGTCTGACATTTAATCCTTCTGGACCAGATTTGTTAGGGAAAAAACTCCAAGAATCATCATTCAGCTGAGGTGTAGGTGGCAGAACAAAGACCTCCCAGAATCATCCAGCTACAATCTATTATCTGTACACCTGAAACTAATATAACACTGTATGTTAACTGGAATTAAAATAAAAACTTAAAAAAATCTATTATCTTACAACATGGCTCTTGCAAACTGCTGTCCTTAGTTAACAAGGGAACTAATTTGTATTTTCCTTTGTACTTTCTCATCCTTTCATCACACCCCTGTAATCTCTCCCCTCATCCCACAGATAAATGGATGTTTTCAGAGTCCACAGAGAGAGCTAAGCTCATCTGCATATAATATCTTCTACATTCCCGCCAGTACAGGAGAAATTAGACCTGAAGGTGACAGATTATTAAAGGGTCACGTCCCTTTACTAAAGGATGCCTTCACACTTGAGTACCCCATTTCCAACAACTGACCTGACACTTCCCTCCACTTTTTAAAAAAAATGTACTTTACTTCATTTATTTATCTATCCTATCTATTTTTAAGAGAATGCCCCTGTGCGAGCAGCAGGGGAGGGGCAAAGGGAGAGGAAGAGAATCTTAAGCAGACCCCATGTTCAGTGCGGAGCCCGACTTGAGGCTTGATCTCGTAACGCCAAGATCATGACCTGAGCTGAAATCAGCTCAACTGACTAAGCCACCCAGGCACCCCTTCCATTTTTAATCTCTACACATTCTCATCCAATTTCCAGAATCACTGCAACTTGAGAAGCATTCCTCTGCTCTCTCTACCCACCCTCTTCGGGCAAGATAACATCTTCTTGAACCTTGAAAGAATGGATTCATCTTTCTTTAAAGGTATAGAGAAAAATCATCTTTGATTTGAGGCAAGTCAAGAGTCTTAAATCCCAGGAGTAATAATAAATATATATTCCTGATGTTCAACTAAAAGCCTCGTGCTGCAATGGAAACCAATTAAGACCATAAATGTACTGCCTAACTTATCTGCCTTTCCAAAGAGGTCTTTCTCCCAAGGAAGATTAACTCTTGGCTCTCTGGGGGTTGGTTGAACTGGCTGGGAAGTGAAGGGATCAGTTTGGGGGAGGAGTGGTGGTGATGAAATCTGATAGTTTCCTCTGTGTCTAGAGCAGGTTCATGATACAAATGAGCTAAATTTCTGGGAAGAAGGTAAGAAGGTGCATTTGTATCTGCATGAGGCTCATATCTGAGTTTGTGTACCCCAGGCCCAGACCCAGGTTTCCTGGTTCTAACTTTCCTGCAATGAGCCCCAGGATCCTCCAAGTTTGAGAGGAGGGACAGGACTGAGAAAACTAAGGCAAAAAACAGAGGGGACAGGGAGAAGTTGGAAAGAATTATATATAAAAAGCTTTAAGAATTTTCCAGAGATCAGAGTCTACCTCACCTAGCAGGGCATCACTTTTTTTTCTAGCCATCCACAATGACTTAGGCTCTAATTTATTCCCATAATGTAAGAGAGAAAACACCAAGGACAGAAGGAGACATGGACTGCGCGGTCTAGAAAAACTCTGATTTTCATTTCCAAATTCCCTCCAATATTAGCCTATTCCCAGACCAGGTCTCCCATCTTTCTCCTTCATCACCAAAAGCCTCAAGTTTCACCCAAACCAGTTACCTTCTCACTATCTCCAGACCAGGAAAGCCCATCTAATTTTCTCTAACTCACCAGCAAACACAAAACAGCTTTGGGGAGGTAGGGAAAGGGGGAAATGATGTTAGCCACTGGGGATCCTAAAAGGAGTTGGGAAAGAGAAAGAGAAAAGGAGGAATACATTAAGAATATTGCTATTATTAAGCACATTCAGCTTCTTAATCAGTGATTAACACTCCCTGGGGTGATAAATGTTTTACTCAACTATAAACTAAGCAAGCAGATGGTCTGATGGAAAAGTAACTTACCCTGCTAAGCCCTCGGCTTCCTTCCTTCTTTCTTCCAAGTGAAGTGAATGCTTGATCTCCCCATATCTAGGTTGTGGCTGACTTGCAGCTGTCCCTTCATATCACTTTCCTTTGCAAACTGCTGAAATGCTGAGTCTCCGTAATTAGGTGTGCCCTGCCAACCAGACAGACAACGCTGAATTCTCCCTAACGAGGTAAGGAGGGGCCTGGCCCATGCCCATGGACTTCTCTCTTTCTGACCTTCCTTCTCTGCCAAGAAGGCTCAGAACTCTTGTCAACACTCCCAAACTCACCAAAGGCCAGGCAGGCTAAGGAAAGATGAAACCTATTGCTTCCTGTACCTCTCTCACTAAGGCAGTATTTCTGCTCTCAGTCCAAGAGTCAGAGAAGAAAAAATTAAAAACAAAAACCCTGGGATTAGTTCAGAAGTCATTATTTGTTTGGAAAGGTAGGCACTACCTCAGATCAACAGAACTCCTGGAGTTCTGGATGTCAATCTAGACCCAGGATGAGTTAACCCAAGCCCAAAGTCCCTTTGAGCATAACAAACACTGCTCAAACACAATTCAACAATGATCAATCTAGGCTTAAACACAAACATAATACCCAAGAAAGAAGAATACAAATGGTCATTTAATGGTACAGAAGGAAATCAATTGTAGGGGAAACAAAATTAATTTGTAAAATTCACTTTCTCTGAAAGGAGAGCAAGGTACTTTGTCATCAGGCACACTCCATTTATTTATTTCAAAAGAGGAATAAAGTAAGCAAAACCAAAATATTATTGGCTAAAAATGCACTGTTTCTAGGAACAGAAAATATAAAAGAATCAATTCAAACATCTTATTCCTTCCTATAATGAATGCTGATCCAGGGAATCTGATTACACATTCCTAGTTCCTTTTCATTTATCAAGCTCCAGGGTCTACCAGAAATTATCAGGGCAGTGGTCCTATATGACTGCAAGACCTGACTTTCTGTTTACATCTGGCCCTAGCTATGTCACTTACCTGCTTCTGTGAACATCATCAAACTGGGGAACAGAACAACTTGCAGTCAGTTTGAGGTCCTGGAATGTGGCAAATCAAAAATCTACATATGAACAGGTGCAGAGGATGGATTCTAAAGGAACCCCAAACTGTAGAAAGCAACTACACGCAGGGAAGGTGAAAGTAAGTGTTAAGGATGCAACAAAACATTACATATTATTCAGAATAGCTGTGGAGAAAAGAAAATCAGTAGCAATAGGCAAAAATCCCGAGTAAAACAGGAGTAATTCATTTTAAGCAAAGGTTTCAGGCCTATTTCAAATTTAACTGGCAGAACTTTTAAAGGTTATGAGTTCTACTAATAATGGCTAAACTGCAGAAGGCACAAGAAGTCAGAGATGGTCTTCTCTTTTTTTTTTTTTTAAGATTTTATTTATTCATTCATGAGAGACAGAGAGAGAGAGAGAGGCAGGCAGAGGGAGAACCAGGCTCCCCAAGGGGTAGGGAGCCCGATGTGGGACTCGATCCCAGGACCCTGGGATCATGACCTGAGCTGAAGGCAGACGCTTAACGACTGAGCCACCCAGGCGCCCTGAGATGGTCTTTTCTAACTCAGAAGTGTCATCTTTGAATATAAAGGGATATAATAGATAGAAAAAATTCATATTGAATATTAATTTATATTTTACCATCACTACTACTAGCTCTGGTAGACATTAAAATTTACAATTTAGAAAGATCTGAACTTTTCAGTTTGCTTTCATCATTAGTTACATTTTTTAAAAAGCCTTCAAAATGTTTCTATGGTTCATTGTGAAACCTTAAAAAATATTTCTATGGTTCACAGTTATGAAGAAAGACTAGAAAGAGGTTCTTATTCAACAGTTAGGAAGTGGCCTGTGAGGCACTGGGTGATTTTTCTACCACTCTTAATGTATACCACTTTTCTGCATTCTGTTCCTTTCTCTTACTTTCTTCTCCTTTTTAATCTTTACCATCAACCCATAATTCTTCTAGTTTGCTAATGATATTTTATGTTTACCCAAGATTCCCACAAACACTATATAACCCCAGTGATGGACCTAAGGGCTAATGAAGTTCCTGGTACCTGATATACTAGTTAAGCTCTTAATTTAGAGACGCATAGTTTTCATAAAACAATAACATCCAGAAAAACCTTTAAACGTATGCAGTGTATAGTAACTTTAAGGGTACCTCATGGACTGCTATGTATGCAAGCTAATAATACAGCAACTAAAAGCTGTAATAATCAACAATTTGAGTTCTGTTTGCCTGGAATAAGGCAAATATATACAGTTCAATTTAAATCAGTGCTTTGTAAAGTGTGTATCATTATAATTATTGTTGAAAACTATAATTAAAGTTACTATATGATTATATTATAAAATGTTGAGCAATATCCTAATTTCCCTCAATTTGCAAAATTTCATACTTATTTTGATTATGGAAAAGAAAGGAATATGATGGCAAGAAAATACAGTATCACGAATATTCCTTTTCTTATTGTTAAAACACCCAAAAAATTCCCAATACTATTATAACAAAACTCTAAACAAGAACATTTTTTTTCAATTAAAAGTTAAGTGAAATAGTGATTTTAAATGTTAGATTTAGGAGGCCTATAATAGGCACCCAAAGTACTCTAGTTTTCAGTTACTAATGTTCATGTAAGACAAATGTAACCAAAGTTAAAAAAAAACACAAAATTTATGAAGACACAAATTTATCAAATTACCATGAACTATCCATGAGATAATCTCTGAAGGCTATATCCCAGTTCTAGTAACAGTATTTTCTGATTTGCATGAGGTCAAATCAGACTATATCTTCCAAATAAAACCCAACACAGAGATAGGAGCAGCGGCCCATGCATGGAATTTATTGTGTGCTACTGTTTATAAAATACTCGAATAGTCCTGCACATGCATAATATTTCCAACTTAGACAGGAGACCATACAGGGTGCACTTTCTGGCAAACAAAACAATAGATGGTTCCGCTGCCTGGAGCTCTGAGTTGTATTCCAGGGCATGAGGGAAGCAGGCCACCAAAGTAAAGGGAAATACCAAACTACAGTGGCAATCAATACAGGTCAGTAATTGTGAAAAATCAGCACATGGTTCCATTTAGTTTAACCAAGCAGTTCTGCAACTATCAAAAGAAAAGGTTCAACATGCAATCTTGACTTTTATGCTTCCACTAACATCCGAATGATTGAACAGAACCATTGCTTCTATGCTGCATTGCTTAATCAAAAACACTTCCAGAACATTTTTAAATTTCCTTTGCATCAAAACATAAAAATGATAGAAAGCCAGCAGCAAATCACCCTGGTGGCTATTTAAGCAATTTGAGTACTCACAATAAACTAAAATTTCTCATAACATCTAGGTAACCTATACATGTCGTACCTGTACATCATAGGTCTATATATTAAATATTTGCAAAATGAAAACATGCATACACAAAATACGTCAAGTTTTACAGACATGATTTGAATTAAAATTTTACTTTGACAATGTACAAACTTCTTTTAAAGTACCTTAAATGAGTAATTCTGTAATTCTTCATAATTTTGAAATTTAGAGGTTTTCTTCTTAAATCTCTAGGGTGTAAATTTCAAAAGATCTGGGCAAAAATATTCTAAATTCGTTTTTGGATTTGTGTTCAAGTAAGAGAGTCTGCCTAGAAATAGGTTATGCATTCATAATTGAAAAATACCAAGACTATATTACAGAATTAGCCACATTTAAGAACTATAGACCTGAGGTCAGCATTTATATAAATGCCAACTGGGTTTCTCAGCATTTTGCCCATAATTCAAAATACAGCTTAGTAACCTCAGAAATGTATTTTAAGACCATGCTAATTCATCCTTTAAAGACATTTCATGGGGGAAAAAAAAGTCCACATTAGCTCCTAGGATTGCGTTTGAAGTCATGGTTAAAAAACAAAATCTAATTCTACTGAGGGGAAAAAGAAATCTCATTTGTAAACTTAATGTGTGAACCACAAGCATAAATGGAGGTGTAGTTGCCCTCCACTGGAAATTGCCCCAAGCCCCTTGCTCACTGCTCTCCACCTTGGCAGCGATGACCCAATCTTATCAGATATCACAACATGTCCCAGGGCCCTCAAGCCTCCATCCAGGAAGGGGGCTGGGGTCTCAAAAGCACAATGGTTTCTCCAGAGGGACTGTGACATTTACAGTCAGCTTGGCCGACCCCTCCAGATCCTGGGGGTGATCTGTCCATTTGGGGCCCGAGATGTGAGAGTCCCTGGGAAGCCGTGGGTCACTGGGCACTATGGTTGCCAGTCCCGTGGTTCTCAGTGGCATGTGCGGTGTTCAGAGAATTGAAACCATCTTGCTGTACAGCATCTTTCCGGGGTGGCATTCTCTCATTGATCCTATCCAAACCCTTTGCCTCTTCAAAACTGCAGATTCTATGTGGTGGAGAGAATCCTCGTATTGCTTAACAAAATGCAAATTTGATAAGTCAGTAATAGAAAAACATTTCTGAGATTTCAAAACATAATTAATGATTTTTAAGAAGAAAGAAATTAGCTGTATGTAGCAACATTTAAATCTTACTTTAATTGAATCCTATCCCCATTCCAGACTTCCCCTTAAAATGTGAAATGTTTAAACCTAAATATAAACACGATAGCTTCATAGATGACAAGTGTTAGCATAGCCTTTAAAAAAGAACGCACAAAAATAACCCTTCCCTGACCCCAAAATTAACCTACAGGCAATGGTCTCAGGGTCTCAGTTTGACTTCTATGATACCAATTATCTCCTACCTCAGACCCTAAAATCACCAGTGACTATCACAGTAAGGCAGCAACAAGAGTAGGGGCAAGTGAGGGGGCTAAACAAGGTTAACCTTGACATACAAATCTGTACCAAGAGCTTGGGAGAAGAAAGAGCAAAGTATGTTAAAATTTAGCAGATAAGAACTATCTTGGAGGTCAAGGTATCATCACCCCATCACCACCAGAATGAAATGAAAAAGGTGGGAAATGCCTCCAGAAGTTAGATCTGTATTTGGCTGATAGTAAAAAGTATTCAGTTTCATATTTTAGGAAATGTCTTCCTTAATTCAATGGCCATTCACTGCATGTTCTTTGGAAACCCAAATCAAAATAAATGGCAATCCTCCTCCAATTGTTATAATTTCTCAGTCACTTCATCTGGAATGATGCTTTTCCATATTAAACTGTGCATACAAAAGATTTCCATTCCACTGGTTATAATCTGGTTGCTTTAATATGTGCAATCCCTGGGACTCAGAGTCTGTGCATGTGAACCAAATAAATGGTTGGGGTGGCAAAGCATTTAGCAATGTGTAATATCAAGCCAACATATGATATATATGAATATAATATTATCAGCAAACGCTAGGCCAAACAGCAAAAAAATAAATAAATAAAAATCATAGTGACAGGGGCGCCTGGGTGGCTCAGTTGGTTAGGCGACTGCCTTCGGCTCAGGTCATGATCCTGGAGTCCCTGGATCGAGTCCCGCATCGGGCTCCCTGCTCAGCAGGGAGCCTGCTTCTCCCTCTAACCCTCCCCCCTCTCATGTACTCTCTCTCATTCTCGCTCTCTCAAATAAATAAATAAATCTTAAAAAAAAAAAAATCATAGTGACAGTTCCTGCACTCTCAGGTGAATTGCTGAAAACAAGTAAAAACCAACTCAAACTTGTACCTAGAGGGGGTTTCACTTAGGAAAAAAATGATCTGAATAGCATAGAATCATGCAAAATGTAGAACAGATCTTTCTTTGCAACTTCAAATGCTATAATATATAGCATAACGTGCTGCACTCTAAAGAATTCAGGAACAGTAAATGTTGGTTGTACACAACACTAGAAAAGGGGAAAACCAGATTGTCACTATGAAAATTGGTCCTTGTAATTTAAAAAGAAGGAAAAGAAAAGAAAAAAAAAGAGGAATGTGACTATTAAACTTGATGAGTCAGTGAGTCTGATTCATCTTGAACTGTGCAAACTAGGAGTAAAACACACCCACAGGAAATTCTCTGATGCCCACCCACACACCACAGATCTCTGCCCAGCACAAGGACTCTGATCGTACCTTTTTCAGCCTCAATAGCCTCAACTGTGGCTGTACAGAAGTGAGCAGAGGCATGCAAAATGAATGAGAGAGATGAGAAGGGTCATATTGTACAGCAGAAAAGGCAATGATCACGTAAAATATCACAGTATCCCATACTACATCATCATTTACAATTTAACATAAATAATATCCATATTAGAGAGCCCCATCAATCCCCCAATTCCTGACACAGCACAGTTTACACACAGCACTATGACAACATCGCTCAGAGCACAGAACACATGGACCTAATATAAAAACAGACACCTCAGCACCCATGCAAATGCACTCCAGTGTTAATTACCTATTGTGAATTCAGTATTTTGATGGCCTTAGAATTTTTCAACATGTTTATCATATCACATCCATCACAATCACAACGAAGTTCTCTATGGTGAAATTATGATGGCAGAATTGTAGCAGAAAAGCAAACAGAAGATTCTTCCCCCTCCCCCCCATCATCTAACTGAAACAATTCTCACTATCAGTTGTTCCATAAGATATAAACTAGAAAGGGTCAGTAATGCTTTTCCTGTTGCTTCTAATTCATAAGGCATAGCAAAAGCTGCAGAAGCTGGTATGGCTATAATGAAACTTAAGGGCAGTAAACTTGGTGAATTACTCTAAGTAGAATAGTTCTGTACCTCTATTGTTTGTGGATAACCTAAAGGACCCCTCTTGTCTATTAGGAACTTCCTTTCTATGCTAACATTGGTGTCCCAAATATCCAAAGATAGTAACATCTATAGCCTTTAAAAAAAAAGCTATTTATGTTCAGTTTATCATGAACTCAAATCTGCCTTGGTACTAATAGCATGCATTCTCAAATGAAGATAGAAAGGCCAATGCACATCTTTTCAAGCCCATCTACCAACTAGAGAGGAATCAAGATAGAACTGAAGTCTTACAGGCAATAAATTCTAACCACTGTATGATATGGAAATACACATAGGTCATATAAGTGAGAAATGCATTCTTAGTATAGCTTGTCTCTGGCCTATTTGAAGAATCACAACATTATTTAGTCATACATTTTATAGTCCAACATTCTTTTGGCTCATTTCTGGGTTCAAACTGTATAAAGCACCCACATTGAGGACCAGGATCAAAGACTGCAGAGGACAATATTTCCTGACAATATTGCAAATTCTCCCCTTTACCCAAAGTACACACACTCAGAATATTTATAACAATAATGCCCCATCCTTTCTATTTTGCTTCTTCTACAATGAGGGCAATTAGATTTAGAAATAATAAATTTTGTCCAAAGCAGTTATTAATGTGAAAGAAAACTGATTAATCTAAGGAATTAAAGTAGACTAATCAGAAATTCATTGATCTTAACCACATAGTAAAGTGAGTTGGGGACCCAAAAGAGGTAGGATGAACACTGAATAAAAAAAATTAATCTTCCTTAACTGTTATTACAAATTCAAGCAGACATATTTATTGTATACCCACTATACAAATCACCATTTAAAAAAATCTAGCTCTGTACACCTGGAATATACTTTGTATCTTCCCAGACATAAAACTGGGATAAATGATCCACCTCTACTTGATCAGCCCTACAACTTCTACTCTTCAAAATATGGACTATTTTCTTTATAATTTAGACACTGAATGGGAAAAAAAATGCCTATCAGAATGTTTTAAAGAGCTTATGGTAAAAGAAGTGATTTTATATGAAATATTTCATAACTTGTATTATATATGGTAATAAATTAAAAATAAAACCTGATATCACTGCAAAAATTAGTATCTATTTGAGTGCATCAGTAGTTTAAAAGTCTATTAATAAATTTTTCAAATTATGAACTGTAACAACATACTTCTGAAATCGTTTTAATTTTATATGTAAAAGCATGTTCTAGATCAAATTATATTCTCTGCTCTTTCTAGAAGCTTCTAAATGCTCCTAATCCCTTTTAGGATATAAAATACATATCACACTCAAAATGGCATACCATGTCAAGCTTGAATGTTTAGAATTGAAAAAAAAGGTCATTTGAAGCTTAAACATTAAGCTGGAAAGAGATTTGATAATTGTAAAGTTCTATCTGAAAGGCACTATTCTTCCTCTATTTGTTTTCAGTTTCATAGGGCAGCCTGACATGTCCTTAGTAAGTCTGTGTACAGTGCTGTCACAAACTGTGTTCCTCAATACTACACGGGAAAAATAATGAAGAAGAATTTGGCATTACTAAAAGAGATGGCCATGTATTTTCCCATATATGTCCTGGTGAAGGTAGCATTATAGGGCTAGCTCCCAAACAAATTTCCATGAAGAAAATGCACATAAAATATATTAATTCCTACTCCAAAAAAGTTGTGTAGTTTGTGAAAACACTCAAGAAATATAAATTAACTTTAAGGTTATTGAGAAGGCAATCGGACTTATTTTCTGACAACAGGACTGAGGTATTAGAATTTTAAAACCTTTCTGCAATACTTAACTCTCACTTATTCACATCAGGGAACATGTCTACTAAAACAAAATATTAGAAAAAAAATTAAAATCACACAGATGCAGCTTCTGTATGAGTTTTGTTATGTGCTTCAAAATGGGTTTATCTTATTATGCTAGGAAAATTGCTCCACACTATCAAGAGCCATCACTGGCACAGCTAGGGAGCTATCTAGTTTCCCAAATTAGACCCCTTAAACTCAGCACTGTCCTATAATTCACTCTATGCTGGGAATATAGCCCCTTCAGTAAAGCTGTCTTTCAAACCTTCCCTGAAGTTGGGGGTGAGTTCAAAGTTGGAAGACTGAGCTTCAGGCTGCATGCAAATTAAGAATGAGTGCTGAGATGCCAACAAAGCATGTAATTAGCAGGTACTAATTATGAAATCTGAAAGAAAGATTTGCTGCAGATACAATGTAAAAGTAATAATACACCCAAGGATAATGGAGAGATGATTGTAGTGGAGATTTATTAAAGTATGAGGCCTTTCAGTTTTCCTTTTATGAACAAAAAAGAGAAAGGGTATAACATTTTTCAAGCTACTAAAGTTCATCCTTTTCTATTAACACTTTTGCTAGTTTTATTGAATGTTCAAGATCTTTGTTTTAGCAAAATCATTTTTAGCTCATTTTGCTAATGTCTATAATATAAAAAAATGGAGGGCAAGGAATATAAAGAAAATCAAAGCAGTTTTTCTTTTAATTAAAAAAAAAAGGAAACCTCATTCAGAATGAAAATTTGAAACTATCATTTTAAAACATAGCTGTACTTCTCACATATACCAGTGGTGGTAGTAGACAACACACTAACATATAAAATAGAACATGTATAGGCTACAAGTAGAAATTATTTGTCTACAGGAAAAATTTGCTTATTTATTTAGGCATTATGAGACTGAGTGAAATGAGACTGTGAAAAGTCAATCTACTTTAAATTTATTCAAAATTTTAAATTATTTTTTGCTTTAAAAAATTCACTAATTACAACACCAGGAAGAAAGTCAGCCATGACTAAGGAAAACATCAGATCTCTTGCTGCCTATTTTAACAGAGCAATGACCCTTGGAGGGCTGTCAAAAGTGGCTACAATAAAACATAAATTAAAGCTATTCCATATCAGATATTTTGCTTTCCAACCACAAGGGAAAGAAATCTAGACTTTGAGTTATTGTGTATACTCTAAAACATTCACATCACTCTCTTCTATTTAATCTGTAATGGGCTTTCAAAAAGTTAACCCAGTATTTACACAAATATTTACGCCAAAAAAATAAGTTTTTTTTTAATATAAAATATTCAATGAGCCAGATTACAGGAATGCTTTAGGTATAATTCTTTTTATTTTCATGCAAAGTAAAGGCACACTTAATAACACCCTTTCAATTTTGACTTACAGGATTTAAATTCAACCCCTTATAACAATGACTTAATATCTAATGTTACATTCATGTTCAGAATGCACAAAGTACAGCAACAAATGCAGCAAACCTCAAAACAAGGTGCTACAAAGTTGCTTCTACATCAAAAGACAGACAAGCGTCTGATAGAGTAATTTAATTTAACATACTTTTACAGACATACAGCTAACCTAAAGAAAGACAGACAGATTTAGGAAAGCAGCTACATCTGCAGAGGAAGAAAACAGCATGTTACAGACAGTCAATTATACATAGAACATTTGACAAACACCACAGAAAACAAACTTTGGCATCATTTACCAGGGTACAAAACCTTGCACAAATCTTTTGGCAAGTGAAGTGCATAAGTAAGGTTTGGGGCCCAAGCAGATTGTTAATTCTAAAATTAAGTATCTGAAAATATAAGCATAGTCTAATACAATTACATAAATTAAAAAAATAAAAAATAAGAAACTTGGAATTACATTTCCATTTTAGTAATATGGATATCCTTGATTCACATTCTGAAACTGGGGCTTTTAAAAGAAAAGGGTGCATTAGACAAACAAAAAAAATAAATATTTAGACATTATGATATGAGCTGCTCCCATATCATTTCATTGAAAGCTGAGAGACTGACCATTATTTTCAATTGAAAGGAATACCCATTCTATCAATTTTCTGCCCTGGTCAGGTTATTAACCAGACACTACCTATCATATAGTATTCTCCCTGTGTCAGCTGCTGAGACAGGAACTAAAAAGCAGAAGGAATTCCCTGCATGCATTATGTGTACTGTTAGCAAAAGAGTGAGGTGTGCCCCAGTCCATCTGAGGCACAGCAAGTTGCATAACATCATTACCACTTTGCAGGGTCTGCCGTCCTCCAGCCAACACTCCACTAGGCAACATCCCTGTGGGAGTCAGGCCCTTGAGTGTCAGCACACTTTCACTCTCCTCCCTATAGCAAAGAGATATAACAGATATCAGAGACTTCCAATAGTTCTTAGTTTAAAAGAGGAAATGGGGCCCAGAGGTAGGCCATGTATATAATTTATGACATTCATTGTTATTACCATATTTTCCTCAATTCCAAGATAAGACATTGTTCCGTATTTTAAATATTTCAGATAAGAGGGTATGCCTTACAACTGAGGCATATATTGTTTTTTCTGAAAAGCTTTATTAAATATATGATGAGATTCATCATCAGTGAGAATCATACAATTGAGAAAATATGGTATTTCTATGCTGTAAATTTCAAATGTCTGATACAACCAGTTTTGCAAACAAATTTTTAAATTTTTTTTTTATTAACATATAATGTATTATTTGTTTCAGGGGTACAGGTCTGTGATTCATCAGTCTTACACAATTCACAGCACTCACCATAGTACTTACCCTCCCCAATGTCCATCACC